TAGGGCTGCGGGGGTTTAGGGTTTAGGGCTTTAGGGCTTTGGATTTAGGGCTCTAACCCTAAACCCTAAACCTAGGGGTTTAGGCGTTTAGGGCTTTAGGGCTTTAGGGGCTTAGGGCATCCGGGGAGGCCTCGCCAAGGAAGGGCCCCAAGGAAAGGCAGAGGTACTCCTGCTCCAAGCTTGGGGGATAGAGCCTGAGGCTGACAGGGTTTAGGGTTTAGGGTCTAGGGTTTATATAGGGTTTAGGGTTTAGAGTTTAGGGCTTGGGGTTTAGAGTTTAGGAAGTTTAAGGGTTAGGGGCTTTAGGGGTTTGGGGCTTAGGGGTTTAGGGTTTAGGGTTTAGGGTTTAGGGGTTTAGGGTTTAGGGTTCCGGAAGCGCAGGTCCTTCTTCACCAGCTTTGCGGCGAATTGCGCCTGCCACCCCAAAGCCCCAAGCACGAACAAAAATCTTAAACCCTAAACCCTAAACCCTAAACCCCAAACCACAAAAAAACCCTCAACCCTAAAACCCTAAACCCTCAATGAGGAGCCCTATAGATCCCTTTAAGGAACCCTTTAAACGGAACCCTAAAAAACTCGTTTCAATGAGGAGCCCCGCCCTCGGCCTGCAGCCAACTGCACTCCGCGGAGCCCTCCGGGCCCAGGGCGATGGGCAGAACTCCGGACGTCGGGTAGTCCAACCTTCTGGGGCTTGAGGTTTAGTGGGTTTAGGGCTTTAGGGTTTGGGGTTTGGGGGCTTAGGGTTTAGGGTTTGAGTTTTGGGGTTTAGGGGTTTGGGGTTTAGGGTTTGGGGCTTTGGGTTTTGGGTGGAGGGTTTAGGGTTCACGGTTCAGGGCTCAGGTTGTTGATGCTCCTTTTTATCCAACCCGCTCCCAGTCCAGCAGATGAGAATGCGGTGGGGTGTAGGGCTCCACGTTTAGAGCTGTGACCAACTGCGTCTACACGGACGTCCTCCTGCTGTTCTGTCTAATGCGCACAAGTACAGCACAGGAGTGGCGATGTAATCCTGAAACCTGTAGATGATGTCGGTCTGGAGACAATAGGACCGTGCATGTTCTCGATATTCCGCCCCCACAAAACCGTAACCGCTAGCACATTCCAGAACCCGGCTTGAAGGGGCACAGCACAAACCCAACCAGCACCGACACAAGGCCTCTGTGATACCATGGTTACCTTGACCAGTCCAGTAATCGAGTGCCTCGTGCAGCTCATAAAACATGAAACCCTAAACGGCCGAAGATGCCAAGCCCTCTTTTGATTTTGATGAATGCTCCAAGTCTTATAGTTCTACTTATGGAAGCCCCAAGATCCTACACCCTAAACCCAAAGCCCTGAACCAACACCCTAATATGGGAACCTGATTGAGAAACCCTGAGTCTCTATTTGGTTCCTTATATATGAATCCTTATATATGAATCCTAATATTTTGGGGTTATAGGGCTACGGGTTTCTTAATCAGGCTCCTACGGTTGATGATAGAAATCCTGCATAACCCATAATAAGGAATATACCATAATTCCCATACTTTAGGGTCCTTAAGATTATGCAGGGTTTATATCATCAACAGCACGTTACACGTTCTTTCTGAGGAAGCTTGCCTCGACACCGTCTGCACAACGGTGGGCCAGCGATTGCCGAAGAGTCTCTCCAGCAGGTCCTCAGGGGGTTTCTAGAGACTCCAATATCCCTTAATCAAGGAATATACCTTAAGTCATATTAGGGGGAGGTTTGGGGGCTTAGGGTTTAGGGTTTAGGGTTTGAGTCTTAGGGTATTGGATTCG